TGAAATGTGGTACGCTCAAAACATGCATTTTCAGTGTTTGAAAACCAAACTGCATATAAAATTGGCGAGAGCCCGTTATAATTGGATTTGAACAAAAAATATAGTCAATTAATGACTCAATTATCAGCATAGGATTTGAATATTCGAATTGAAGTTATACTTAATTGATTGAGTCTAATTCACAAAAACATTGCTTATTGGTTTGGTTGGTCATGGAAATTAGATGTGCAAGTATCAATGCAGTGCAAGTAGGGTAAGGATAATGATATTTGAACACCTATACTCACTGCTTTATGGTCCATGTATGCTTCTGGTGCTGTCATAGATTAGAGTATCATATGCATACTCACTCCATTTTTAAGAATAACTATTGTGCAGCGTCAAATAAAACCTGTCTGGTTCGAATATGATACTCTAATATCTCTTCCAAATTCCCATGTTTGGCTTAGGCATTACGACATCCAAATATACACTTGCAATGTTTTCAAAACCCAAGTGCATATTAAATTGGCCGGTGAGATCCCATCATGATTGGATTTGTTCAAACAATTACATTTGCCTTATTAATTTAATTGCTTGATCAAACCAATAATTGAATAAAAAATAACACTCCTAGATTCATATATACAAGTTAAAACGTACCTATTTTTTTTATCAATTAAATTAAACAAATTTGAACTAATTTTACAATATTTAATGTTATCATCTAAAAAATACTATTTAAATAAATATGATTATTGTTTTCAATAAATATTATTTAAGATAATTTAAAAATAAATTTTAATTTTTATATAAAATAGAATATATTAAATCAACTTAACTAATTTTCTTAATATATACATGGTCAATTAATACTCAATTAATTTGGTCCTACATAGTATTTGCTTTTTACAACTTCTATGTTAAAAGCATAGACCAATTTGAATATTAAATGATCTAAAAATACATCCCAAAGTTATGGTCCTACGTAGTATTTTTCTTTTTATTTTTAGAATATAATGTTATGATTTATTTGGTGATATAATAATTAGTTGATTTAACATACTGAACATTTAATTACTCTGATTAGGCCTATTAATGTATTCTATAAATAAGCGTAACACGTATACACTTCATATGATAGATATACTTCACTTTTCAAAATTTGAGATTTTTCTCTTAGAAGTCTTTCAAAATTCTTTCTTTAATTTTCTCTCTTACTTACACGAATTGGATTGCTACAACATGATTGTTATGCGTTACTAGTTTGTTAATTAATTCTGGGTTTTAAAAATTATGGTAAAATTCAAGTTCTCAATTTTTTTACTGAATGAATTATTTGTTTCTCTTCTTCTCAGTTTTAGGTTTATTTTCATTCTTCATGATTGCGAATTTCATTTTGGATCTAGAATAGAGATTGATGATTAATTTTATATCTAAATTTAGATTTAGATATAAAATAATCTAAGTTACCTAATTCAAACGTTGACCATTCTTGAATTTTATTAAAATTGTGAGATTTTGATTATGTTTCATGTTTTGATTAGGCATGACATTATTCTAACCTAGCCCTGTTGGTTCCCACCTGAACCTGTCCTGATTTAGATGGAAAAACCCGTGTTGACCGAGTTTGAGTTTTCCTCGATTGGTAATACCCACCCCACCCGCGCCTTCACCCCCGCCTCTTTCAATAATATAATTAAAAAATTATCCTTATATATATATAAACCAAAATTAGAAACCTTTATATGTAAACACTTATATTATATTGCTTTTCTTTTATTTTTTTTTTAATTTTTTTTCATAATTATTAGAAATAGAAGAAAGAAAAGATCCAAGAGCGAGCACGGGGCGGGGTGGGGAAACTCGAATTCCGTCGATGACAAGGATGAATTTCTAGATTTTATCCCCAGCAGGTATCGCGGTGGGAAACATAAACCTCGCCACGTTGCCATGCCTAGTTTTGATGGAATTAATAGATCTAGATTTATATCTACGCTTTTTTTATTAAGTTCATGTTAAATTAGGTTGATTGAGAATTCACATTTATTGTTAAACTATAAAAATTTTACTGTAGAGATTGAAATTTTGAATTGATACTTCTCTAATTAAATTTTTTGATTCTTAATTATTTATTTTATTGATTAAATACTATTTTGAAATATTACATTTTCTTGCTAATTTTATATGATAAAATATGAATTAAATATGTTTGTGTTTTCGTGTATAATGACCTAGATTGTTCCCTATTTAGCACTCTCAATTATAATACCCTTTCATCACGATAATGACCATATTACACCTTAAGCTGGGTATGACCTTCAAAATCAATCTAACCATAAAATATTTGTATATAAAAAAATAATATTAAGGCACTTTAAATAAATGGTAAAAACCAAATAAGTTTGATAATTATGGAGGTAACTATTTTCTACATAATTTTTGTATAGGTGTGATCACTACTAGAAATTTACTGTTTAACGTCGTCAATTCTATGCCAGTTTAGGTAAAAACGATATAGAAATCAAATGTGGTGGCATTTTTGTAAATAAGTGTAAAATATAAAACATATTTGCATCGATTATGACTAGGATCGATGTAAATATTGAGTATTTTACATCGTTTTTACTAGAATCGATGTAGTATTGAATGCGCGGTAAATTTTTTTTGAATAATTATAAATAGATCTACATCAGTTCACCTAATAATTGATGTAGTATTGAGAAGCATTTGCAAACCTGCATGAGAGCCCTTTCTCCGCGAAGAACTCTCTATTGGAGCTTAATTTTTTGCATTATTTTTTATTTACTTACTTTTTAGTATTTTTTTTATATGTATTTTTAATTCTAATCATGTACAAATTTTATTTGTGTTGCAGCAATGGCGGATGAAACTCAAAATGAGATGAAGGAGGAGGTTCTAGAAGGGGATGGCACCCTATGAAGCTCTATATGGTAGGAGATGTAGCACACCCTTGTGTTGGGTAGAACCTGGAGAGAATGTTATCTTAGGACCTGAGATAGTTCAACAAACTACTGAACAAGTTAAGATGATCCAGGAGAGAATGAGAGCAGCTCAGAGTAGGCAGAAGAGTTACAGTGATAAGAGGAGAAAGGACCTTGAGTTTAATACAGGTGATCATGTATTCCTTAAAGTTACTCCTTGGACAACTTTTTAGTATTTTTTTTATATGTATTTTTAATTCTAATCATGTACAAATTTTATTTGTGTTGCAGCAATGGCGGATGAAACTCAAAATGAGATGAAGGAGGAGGTTCTAGAAGCGAAAAATTATGGTAAAATTCAAGTTCTCAATTTTTTTACTGAATGAATTATTTGTTTCTCTTCTTCTCAGTTTTAGGTTTATTTTCATTCTTCATGATTGCGAATTTCATTTTGGATCTAGAATAGAGATTGATGATTAATTTTATATCTAAATTTAGATTTAGATATAAAATAATCTAAGTTACCTAATTCAAACGTTGACCATTCTTGAATTTTATTAAAATTGTGAGATTTTGATTATGTTTCATGTTTTGATTAGGCATGACATTATTCTAACCTAGCCCTGTTGGTTCCCACCTGAACCTGTCCTGATTTAGATGGAAAAACCCGTGTTGACCGAGTTTGAGTTTTCCTCGATTGGTAATACCCACCCCACCCGCGCCTTCACCCCCGCCTCTTTCAATAATATAATTAAAAAATTATCCTTATATATATATAAACCAAAATTAGAAACCTTTATATGTAAACACTTATATTATATTGCTTTTCTTTTATTTTTTTTTTAATTTTTTTTCATAATTATTAGAAATAGAAGAAAGAAAAGATCCAAGAGCGAGCACGGGGCGGGGTGGGGAAACTCGAATTCCGTCGATGACAAGGATGAATTTCTAGATTTTATCCCCAGCAGGTATCGCGGTGGGAAACATAAACCTCGCCACGTTGCCATGCCTAGTTTTGATGGAATTAATAGATCTAGATTTATATCTACGCTTTTTTTATTAAGTTCATGTTAAATTAGGTTGATTGAGAATTCACATTTATTGTTAAACTATAAAAATTTTACTGTAGAGATTGAAATTTTGAATTGATACTTCTCTAATTAAATTTTTTGATTCTTAATTATTTATTTTATTGATTAAATACTATTTTGAAATATTACATTTTCTTGCTAATTTTATATGATAAAATATGAATTAAATATGTTTGTGTTTTCGTGTATAATGACCTAGATTGTTCCCTATTTAGCACTCTCAATTATAATACCCTTTCATCACGATAATGACCATATTACACCTTAAGCTGGGTATGACCTTCAAAATCAATCTAACCATAAAATATTTGTATATAAAAAAATAATATTAAGGCACTTTAAATAAATGGTAAAAACCAAATAAGTTTGATAATTATGGAGGTAACTATTTTCTACATAATTTTTGTATAGGTGTGATCACTACTAGAAATTTACTGTTTAACGTCGTCAATTCTATGCCAGTTTAGGTAAAAACGATATAGAAATCAAATGTGGTGGCATTTTTGTAAATAAGTGTAAAATATAAAACATATTTGCATCGATTATGACTAGGATCGATGTAAATATTGAGTATTTTACATCGTTTTTACTAGAATCGATGTAGTATTGAATGCGCGGTAAATTTTTTTTGAATAATTATAAATAGATCTACATCAGTTCACCTAATAATTGATGTAGTATTGAGAAGCATTTGCAAACCTGCATGAGAGCCCTTTCTCCGCGAAGAACTCTCTATTGGAGCTTAATTTTTTGCATTATTTTTTATTTACTTACTTTTTAGTATTTTTTTTATATGTATTTTTAATTCTAATCATGTACAAATTTTATTTGTGTTGCAGCAATGGCGGATGAAACTCAAAATGAGATGAAGGAGGAGGTTCTAGAAGCGAGTGTATTTTCTTGTTAATATCTGTAACGAAAATATGCTTCCTCACTGTGCTTTTCTTGATTGGGTGTAAGGCCATAAATTTATTGAAGTAGGATATGCGGGGTAGAGGGTGTCACAGTAGTGTTATCTACCAACTTCAAAATCCAAGTCACTGGGAGAATGTAAAAAATCGTATCAAACTTTGGAGATCATGGTATGGAGTTGTTAGTGACATCCATAGTCAAAGTGGATTTGATTGGGATGGTACAAAACACATGATTACAGTTGACAATGAAAATGCTTGGAATGAGTATGTCAATGTAAGTAATCTTATATTTTCATTTTTTAAAAGTAATGTAAATGTTAGTGTCTGGACTAGGTCTTTATGATTTATTAGATTGTGGGTTTCATTTATATAGGGTTTGTCAGATTGATAATTGGCCTCTAATTCTTGGACCTTTCAAAGTTGGATTTTTTTATGTTATAACAATTCAACGTATGGTATTATGGAGTTTGAGTGTAGTATATAATCTTTGTTCTTTGTTAACTAGTTAGACAGACGCAAAATATAGATGCGTTTCTGGGCTTTTTGAGGTATACCCTGGGGAAAGTATTTTTATTATTTCGGGTTTTAGTGATTGAAATTTTACCGGGTTTAATTTGTGCTAAAGAGAGAAAGATCGTTTTGCGCATCTTTGAGCTGTGATTTTTTGGGAGGTGCAACTGTGACTGAGTGACAGCATTGGGAAAATTCAAGTTCAACTCTAAATCATCCTTATACAGGTGAGGAACTGGAATGATAGTTGTCAAAATCATTTTCCCCTTGTGATTATGTTCTCTGTTCTGAATTTATAATCCATCTTCACATTTTGCTATGTTGGTGCCTTGTTTGAGCATTCTTTGATTTAGTTTCTCTTCTCTGTTCTGATCTTGTGTCCGTGTCTTTGCTAATATTTAACTTTGTTTTCTGCCTTGCACAACTTATGTCTGTTTCAAAAGAATAAATTTTTTTAGAGTCAAACCTTTATAATGATCCTGATGCTCCCACTGCTAGCAGCTCTTGCTTTCATACCAAAATGCATGATCATCCTTAATAGAATTGCAGTGGGATTATTGAGTTCATAGATAGTCTTAATTCAAATGAACAAAACTAATGATCAAAAAGTAGGAATTAATTTTGTATCAAGTTGCATTGAAAATTGAAATTGGATGTGACATTGAGAGAGGAGCAGAAGAGTGGGTTGGGGTGGAAGATCCACTGAAAGATAGTGGTGGATTCGAAGATTGAAAAGGATTCAGTTGTGAAGCCATGGAGTGGAAGCGGATCCAAGAATTTGTGTGGCTACTCTAATTTCAGTCAAGTAACAATGGTTGACATTTTATGCTACTTGGTGTATACTGATAATTTGATAAGGTGTCAACACGTGTGCTTCCGCACCCTGCTCTTTGTATTGTTATGAGCACTTTGCATTCTGGAGCATGTGCTGTTTAGTTATCTGAGTTTTGCTAGCATCTGCCATATTTTTTAGATGTATTATATATTTAGTCAGCGATTGGCATTCTAGCATAGCAATAATATACGATATTGCATTTGAACAAAACTTCTTTTGATAGAATGTAGGCATTTTCAGCTTTGTATTTTTTTACTAGAGATGTTTCTAAACTAGATTTTGTTACATTGCAGACATGTCACTTTCTGGTATGACTTCAGTGGGAAATGATATGCATAATTATATTGATTTTTCTATTATTGACTTGTTTCTTTTTGTTTTTAAGGCGCATAAAGAAGCAAGACAGTTTCGATTTAAGGTGATTGTAAACTGGGATGATATAGTGGACTTGTGTGCCAAAGATAGAGCCACTGGACATGGAGCTGAGACTGCTATGGATGCTGATGAGGTCATGAGCAGAGAGATAAATGAAGGGGAATTAAGTTTAGAGGGTGCTAGTGATACCATATATTTAGATGAACCTGGTTTTACTACACAAAGAAGGGGTCAATCTTCAGCTTCTACTAGTACACAATCTCAGAGGAGAAAGACAGGAGAAAAAGATGGAATAGCTAATTCGTTGAAAGAAGTGGCTGAATCTTTAAAGCGACTTGTTCAAGCATTTGATATTACGATTGATGAAGATGCTTTTATTCAAGAAGTGTTAGCTGAAGCAGCTTTGATACCAAACCTTAATCAACACCAATGGGCCAAAGCTGTTAAATGGTTATCTGACACTCCAAAACAGTTAGCTATTGTGAAAGCTCTTCCAATTGAGAAAAAGGCAGCTTATGTTTTAACACATATTTCTTGATGTAATTTTTTTTCATAACTTATTAATTTTAATTAATTTGATTGATTGTTGGAAGTTAACTTTCTAACTTTTTCATGTATTTTGTATGTTTCAGGTTTGGAGCTTTTATGCATTCCATGAATATTTGGATTTTATCATCAGGTCAATTACTTACTTGACTTGATTTCTGACCATTTTCTAAATCCAATCTGTAAACTAATCTAAACCATTATTTCATGTTTAAGTTTTGCACCACGTTCCATGTGCTCTTCATTGTTTTTAGATTAAACTCATGCTTAACATATTATTGTAGTTTATCATATATTATATACTTGTGTAAATTTAAAGTGTGATAACAAAAAAAAAGTCTTGTTATTTGAGTTTTGATCCTTGGTCTTATTATTATTGTTATTTGTTTTTATTCTTTTGTAGGCTTTGCTTTTATGAGGAGGTGAAAATCTTTGGACTTGAAGTTGTGATCTTGATATCTTCGACAAACTATCTTTTATTTTTGTTATTTTAATATAGACATAAAATACATTTGAAATTTCATTAGTATTTGGTTTAAATTTGTATGAGATATTATGATTTTGAACCACCTATACTGAAAGTTAAACATTCTTATTATTTTTTTCTTAGTTTAAAATGAACTTATTTCGTATCGTGAATCAATGTGTATTAATTGTTTTATATATGTTAATGGTATTTTGAAGTTTTTAAATATGTTGTGAATTTAAAATATTTTTTAAATTTATAAAGAAAAAATTGATTAAATATAATGTCTAATACTATTTTTGAATTAATTAAAATTTTCTAATATTAAAATTAATTTCCAATTATTAAATATATTTAAATAAAATTTAATATTAAAAACTTTAACTTTTTAATAAATATTTAAAAATGAAATTTTACTTAGTAGAATTTGAAATACTTTATCCAAACAAGATAATTGAAATATAAGATATTAAAAAATGCTCTATCCAAACAAAATATTTAAAAAAGGAAGGGAATTCAATTGAGAGTAATTCAAATTCTAAGAATTTGAAATTCCTTGAATTTTAGAAATGATTTATCCAAACACAACATGAGAAATTTTACTGCAATGAATGAAATTGAGGTAGTTACACGTACAAGGGCAATGTTTCGAAAAGTGTCACCTGTAGGGACTAGTGGTGAAATTATGACTCTAACGTGTTATTGATGTGGAAAGGTCAGGAGTATGTGTTTTTGAATCCTGAGTATTTTTTGAAGAGCATTGATCTCTCAAGTAATAATTTAACAAGTGAAATATCAAAAGAGATAGGATATTTACATTGGACTAGTTTCATTGAATTTATCAAGAAACAACTTAAGTGGTGATCGAAATTCCTTCTGAGATTAGGAGTTTAAATTGGCTAGAATTTCTTGACTTGTCAGGAAATAATTTATTTGGCAAAATTCCTTCCACTGTTTCAAAGATTGATGGTCTTGCTATGTTAGATTTATCAAACAACCTGTTGGGATGCAAGTAAAGTCTCACATTATTTAAACAAGAGGATGGACATGAGTTTATATATATACAGTTGTCTCCATTGGTTGAGAGACTTTTTGAGTAATGTCCAAAAGCAAAAACTATGAGGACTTGGGCTCAAAGCGAACAATATCTCACCAATTTGGACACATGTGTATATGTGTGGTAACCCCCTCGATGCACAATAAGTGGTATCAGAGCCCGGTGATCTGATCAGGTGACCGGCTCGGCAAGTATGATGACTGACAAGTGGATCCAAGTTTGGGATCCCTTGTGTCAAAAGTCTTTCTAATGGTGGGTCCATGTGGAAGAGAGGCTTCCTGGTAACATGGAGGGTTAGGAGGCGTGTCCCGCTGTCAAGGGTGCACAACAAGTGGTATCAGAGCCCGATGATCTGATCAGGTGACCGGCTCGACGAGTATGATGGCTGACAAGTGGATCCAAGTTTGATATGAATACGAGGAGGTGTGTTTTATGTTAATTCCTTTTCTGCAATGCTTCTATAGCGACCTCTGTGATTGAAATGCCTATGTGAAGCTTGTTTTATGTTGATTTTTTCTGCATCACTTAGTTGAAAAGTTTTGCTGAGTTGGTTCTAATTTTTATCCCTAATTCTGATTATTTATTATTTATTTTGTGGTTCCTGTGGATCTATCCTTTTACATTTCCATATATGTTTCATAGGGTGGTTGGGGGGTTTGCTCTTGATTTTATAGTTTCTTTTAAATGATTGAAATCTTTAATTTGATAGCATTTTATTTAATGATTTGTGTGTCTTGGTTATCTTTATTGGATCAAGAAATGTTGGTTTTTTTGTTTTTATTAACACTAAACCATCTAAATGGAATTTTTGTTGGCATGGTGTCCAATTATAAAGTCATAATATATTGTCTAAATCATTGATGCTATATTTTGTTCTTTCTTTACTTGGAGGCTGCTTATCTTGCCTTACCTTTTCCAAACATTTCTATCATGGATCGTGATGTGTTATTGTGTAGCTTCTTATTGGTAGGGTGTTTAACATTATACGTGAGCATTTATGTATAACTTTTTAAACTTCTTGAAAATTGTTAGTTTTTAACTAGTTTAAATTTTAAAAATTATATAAATGTAACTAGTTTAACTTGAAAGGGGGGGAGAGCCTTTTGTGCCTTTATATCTTTCCTTAGTCACCCTTGGCTAATTCGGCCACCTCCCTCCCATCTCCACCTTGAGAGAAACAACCCTAGAAGTGGCCTTCATATCATGAAGTGAGCCAACCCTAGAGTACCCTTCTCAAGCATTTCCTCAAACATCTTCTACCCAACCTCCATTTTCGTCCATTTCATCATCATCCACCGTAAAACCTTGTGCCACCTTTGAAGAACTTGATCCTTGGAGAAGGCGTCCTATTCTTTGTTGATCATCTCAAGTTCATGCAAGTAAGGATGCCATCATGTGGTATCTAGAGCCTTGGTTCTTCAAGGGTAACATTCTCTTTGTCCCTAAATATATTTGGTCATGTCATGTCTTCCTTAAATGTCTTCTAAGTGTGCTTAAATGAATCATCATAATTGCCATATTTTGATGATCCATAAATCT